GTGAAGGAGGGGGGTGGGGGTCATGGAGCCTCCCTGTTCACAAATGTTCATTTATTTTATTCTCTAGTATCAGTGAGCTAATGTGAACTGGAGTTAAGGTGATGTTGTGGAGTAGATTTTAAGTTGTATATAAATTACTATTATTAATACAGATATATTTTTTATATAGGTGAGTTTTTGTCCTTCCTTATAATAATAATTAATAATGTTTAATTAACATGAGTACATGCTGAGCCGAGATCTGCTGTATTTTTCAGTGTAATTTAAATGCCCCTAGACAGCAGACTGAGCAGCCATTTAGGAGCCAGGACATTTTATTTAAGTTACGATTTCAAAGTCGTAATATTACACATATGCCCAATTTGACCGGGAGTGTGGCTTAGTTATTGTCAATCGTCAAATGAAAGATTTAGAACTTTTTCAACCCTGACTTTTGAAGGATGTTATACTCCCTGAATTTGAGACTTCCAAAAACACTGACGCTTACGATGAATTCTGTCAATGTGTGTGTGTGTGTGTAGTGTGTGTGTGTGTAGTGTGTGTGTGTGTAGTGTGTGTGTGTGTGTAGTGTGTGTGTGTGTGTAGTGTGTGTGTGTGTGTAGTGTGTGTGTGTGTGTAGTGTGTGTGTGTGTGTAGTGTGTGTGTGTGTTGTAGTGTGTGTGTGTGTGTGTAGTTGTGTGTGTGTGTGTGTGTAGTGTGTGTGTGGTGTAGTGTGTGTGTGTGTGTGTGTGTGTGTGTGTAGTGTGTGTGTGTAGTGTGTGTGAGTGTGTGTGGTGTGTGTAGTGTGTGTGTGTGTGTAGTGTGTGTGTAGTGTGTAGTGTAGTGTGTGTGTGTAGTGTGTGTGTGTGTGTGTAGTGTGTGTGGTGTGTGTGTAGTGTGTGTAGGGGTGTGTAGTGTGTGTGTGGGGTGGTGTGTGGTGTGTGTGTGTGTGTGTGTGTAGTGTGTGTGTGTGTGTGTGTAGTGTGTGTGGTGTGTGTTGTGTGTTGTGTGTGTGTGTGTAGTGTGTGTGTGTGTGTGTGTAGTGGTGTGGTGTGTGTGTGTGTGTGTGTGTGTAGTGTGTGTGGTGTGTGTAGTGTGTGTGGTGTGTGTAGTGTGTGTGTGTGTGTGTGTGTGTGGTGTGTGTAGTTGTGTGTGGTGTGTGTAGTGTGTGTGTGTGTGTAGTGTGTGTGTGTGTAGTGTGTGGTGTGTGTGTGGTGTGTGGTGTGGTGTGTGTGTGGTGTGTGTGTTGTGGTGTGTGTGTGTGGTGTGTGTGGTGTGTGTAGTGTTGTGTGTGGTGGGTTGTGTGTGTGTGGTGTGTTGGGTGTGTGTGTGTGTGTGTGTGTGTGTGTGTGTGTGTGGTGTGTGTGTGTGTGTGTGTGTGTGTGTGTGTGGTGTGTGTGTGTGGTGTGTGTGTGTGTGTGTGTGGTGGTGTGTGTGTGTGTTTTGGGTGTGTGGTGTGTGTGTGTGGTGTGTGTGTGTGGTGTGTGTGTGTGTGGTGGTGTGTGTGGTGTGTGTGTGGTGTGTGTGTGTGTGGGTGTGTGTGGGTGTGTGTGTGTGGGTGTTGTGTGTGTGTGTGGCGGGGTGTGTGGGGGTGTGTGTGTGTGTTTTGTGTGTGTGTGTGTGTGTGTGGGTGTGTGTGTGTTTTGGTGTGTGGGTGGGTGTGTGGGGGTGGGGGTGTGGTTGGGTGTGTGTGTGTGTGTGTGTGGTTTTTGTGTGTGTGTGTGGTGTGTGGGGTGTGTTGGTGTGTGTGGTTGTGTGTGGTGGGGTGTGGTGTGTGTGGTTTTTTGGGGTGTGTGTGGGTGTGTTTGGTGTGTGTGGTTGGTGTGTGTGGTTGTTGTGTGTGTGTGGGGTGTGTGTGTGTGGTGTGTGTGTGGGGGTGGGGTGTGTGTGTGGGGTTGGGGTTTTGGTGTGTGGGGTTTGTGTGTGGTGTGTGGGGTTGTGTGTGTGTGTGTGTGTGTGTATGGTGTGTGGTGGTGTTGGTGTGTGATGGTGTTTTATGGTGTGTGTATGGTTGTGTTTTGTGTGGTGTGTGTGGGTGTGTTTTTGTGTTGGTGTTTGTGTTGGGGTGTGTGTGTGTTGGTGTGTGTGGTGTGTGTGTGTGGTTGAAATGTGTATGTGTGTGTATGTGTGTGTGCTTTGTATGTGTATGGTTTGTATTGTGTATGTGTGTATGTGTGTGTATGTGTGTTGTGTATGTGGGGTGGTGTGTGTGTGTATTTTGCGCGCGCGCGTGTGTGTGTGTGTGTGTGTGTGTGTGTGTGTGTGTGTGTGTGTGTGTGTGTTTTGTTTTGTGTGTACTCCCCTATTGTGGTTGCAGGGGTCGAGACTCAGCTCCTGGCCCCGCCTCTTCACTGATGGCTACTAGGTCCTCTCCCTGCTTCCTGAGCTTTATCATACCTCGTCTTAAAACTATGTATGGTTCCTGCCTCCACTACATCACTTGCTAGGCTATTCCACTTCCTGACGACTCTATGACTGAAGAAATACTTCCTAACATCCCTCTGACTCGTCTGAGTCTTCAGTTTCCAATTGTGACCCCTTGTGTCCCCTCTCTGGAACAACCTGTCTCTGTCTAGCTTATCTATTCCACGCAGTATTTTATATGTCGTTATCATGTCTCCCCTGACCCTCCTGTCCTCCAATGTTGTCAGTCCGATGTCCCTTAACCTTTCTTCGTAGGACATACCCCTGAGCTCCCGAACTAGCCTTGTTGCAAACCTTTGCACTTTCTCTAATTTCTTGACGTGCTTGACCAGGTGTGAGTTCCAAACTGGTGCTGCATACTCCAGTATGGGCCTGACGTACACTGTGTGTGTGGGGGGAGGGGGGAGCCTGTCGGTCTCGTGTCGAATAGGTAAAATTAGTCAATTAGCAAGTACTTATTTAAAATGAAGTCCTTGCTAAAATTTTCTCTACAGGTTTAAAGATATATATTTTTCATTTATGTTAATGCATAAATTAATAATTCTCTACCAAAAGTACCTTAGAAAACTTACCTAACCTTATTATAACAAGGGCAATTTAATTTAGCTTAATCCAACTAAATATATTTTTGAGAAGTTTACAGTAATATAATAATAAACAATGAAATATATTTTTTTTCGTTAGGTTCAGAATGATTTTTGCGAAATTATTGCATACACAAATTTTCGCTTGCCTTATTCGGCAAAAAGAGCGTTGCTGTTTAAGTCAAAATCGCAAGTTTTACTTTATATATATATTTTATATATATATATATATATATATATATATATATATATATATATATAATTTTAATATATATTTATTTATATATATATAATGTCGTGCCTAATATGTAAAACTGGTCAATTAGCAAGAACTCATTTAAAATTAAGTACTTTCTAAAATTTTTCTTATATGTTTAAAGATATATTTTTTTTATTAATGTTGATGTAAAAAAAATTTTAATTTGCACCCAAAAAGAAATTAAAAAACTTACCTAACCTTATTATAACAAGAAAAATTTATTTTAGCCTAACCCAACTAAATATATTTTAGATTTGTTTACAATAATTTAATACTAAACAAACACAGTGAAATATATTTTTTTCGTTAGGTTCAGAATGATTTTGGCGAAATTATTGCATACACAAATTTTCACTTGTCCTATATGGCAAGATGAGCGTTGCTATTTAAGCCAAGATCGCAAGTTCTGCCTATTCGGCATGACATATATATATATATAATATATATATATAATAGAAGGGGTTACTGAGATGGTTCGGACATGTGGATAAGCCGGAACAAAATAGAATGACTTCGAGAGTATAAAGCTGTAGTGGAGGGAAGGCGGGGTAAGGGTCTTCCTAGGAGATGTTGGAGGGAGGGGGTAAAAGAGGTTTTGTGTGCGAGGGGCTTGGACTTCCAGCAAGCATGCGTGTGTTAGGAGAGAATGGAGACAAATGGTTTTTAGGACTTGACGTGCTGTTGGAGTGTTTGCAGGGTAACATTTATGAAGGGATTCAGGGGTACCGGCAGGCCGGACTCGAGTCCTGGAGATAGGAAGTACAGTGCCGGCACTCTGAAGGAGGGGTATTAATGTTGCAGTTTTATAACTGTAGTGTAAGCTCGCCTCTGGCAAGACAGTGATGGCGTAAATGATGATGAAAGTTTTTCTTTCTTCTGGCCACCCTACCTTGGTGGGAAACGGCAGATGTGTTAATAAAAAAAATATAATAGTGTGGGTGTTATACATTATATACCCACTGGCTATGACTGAAGAAAAACAATAAAAAATCATGGCCAGTCGTGCTTCCAAGGTTGATTTTACCTCCTGAGAGAAATAAAAAAATTACTTAAAATTACCATGTATTACGTCTGAAACCTTGAAGAGAAATTTGACTTGGTAATACCTATGAAGAACAATATGCCGCACCTTGTACTTCCTGCGGGGAAAGAATAAAAAAAAAGTTTTAAATTTACAGGTAGAGCGTCATCTTGTTGGGCAGCAGTGACTGCAATACCGGGCACAGCATTCTTTTCAACTTGAGTATTCGTCACTCTCTTGGATGGCCCGTCCTTTCTGCCCAGGTCTTTATCATGGACCAGTAGATGACAGTTCAAGGTGACTCGTCTGGAACCTTGGTCCTACTTGATTGATTAAAGGATCATACAACACCTGAGGAACTGGAGGTAACCAGGTTTGATCTGAAGGGGAGGTTAGTTCTTATCCTTTAGATCAAAGCCCCTTCACCATCTATCAGTACTTTTCCCATTTGTTATAATTTCTAAAGGACCTGACTGTGCCATCAGTGAACATCTTTTTTTGCTGCCTCGTACCTGGAATGTGTTTACAACATACATTCCAGAGGTCAACTCGAATTATCAAATGAAACTTCTGCCTCACAACTGCCAGCAACAGTGAAGAAAAATGAAACGTTGAAGGACAAGATATAGTGGAACAGCGTTTAGCTGTGTCGAGTTTCAGGACTATTACAAACTCAACAACAGAGCGAAACGTTGTGCCAATATGTGTGTAGGTAACACTGAGACGGTCTTACCTCTATCTCCTGGAGTTGGTCTTCGATGATGGCGTGCTGATGCTTGATGTTGGCCTCTAGCTCCCGGTTCCTTTCCAGCAGGGTCTTGCCTAGTTCAGCCGCCAACTGAAGGTCTGCAAGAAAGCAAGATTAATAACATTAGCAACAGCTGCTGTTACATAACCCAAGGGCATGGGTAATGAATTTCTTTTATGAGAGCTATCTCTCTCTCGGGGTGTGGATTGTCCTACACAACATTATCTATAGCCACTCCTCGCAATATTGTTCTGGAAGTGTTCTTGATAAAGATAAAACTGGTAACATTAGTTATGGCAAAATTATAACTACAGTTTACAAATTATTTATACATTTTGCTGTAAGCATAACGCCAGATCAGACAATTTAACGCAATGAGTTATTCACCGCAGAGTGTAGACTACCGTTCGTTTGCTGATCAAGAGGCTACTCCAAGTACCAGTCCTCAGACTCTGTACACTTCTTGGTACACATTAATGACCTACAAGTCTATGTTAACAGACATGTCAAACTTCGAGAAAGTAGGGTTAGTTAAAGTTAGGCTTGGAGAAGCGGCTACTGGAATTAATCCTCAACAAAATACAAACTGGTGTACATGAGAGGTGGCTGGTGATAAGGTTTATCTCAAGAGGAAAATAACTTAATAAGGAAAGAGAGGACCTCTGATTGAATATTACACTCTAATACGGATGGCACAAACAACCTAACTGATCAAGCCGTCAACCAGGAGACTAGTCTGAGATCGGGCCGTGAACCTGCCGCTAGAGTCGCACGCAATGTATGGGATCAAAGTTGGCCAATGCAAGAAAAATCCTTAAAAAATGTAAAGAAATTTTTATAACTTTGTACACCACATATGTAAGAGCAATCTTGGAATATCCAGTGCTACCAGGAACCCCCGCGTGTTCCCAGCCCCACCACTGTAATCAAGCACGCAAGAAAGCTTGAGGTAGAGATATTTGTGTAATCAAGTTAAACTCCAGCTACTACATCTCACCTTACTTCCTAAGTTAATTGCTACAACATCTCACCTTAATTCATAAGCTAATTCCATAAATTGTATTTACCTTTGTTCATATTATAGTGATTTATAAATGTGCTAAGACTTCTATTTGCATGCCTTTTACTCTGATTCATTAACAATATTTCTGACAGTTGAAGTTCATAAGCACCTATGCGCGTGCACAGGATACATTTACATCTTTATAGTTTTTATGGGATGGCACTCAGCATTGTACCTGTACATTAAACAAAATTATCTGATTTTTTTTAGCATATTTATATCTAGTTAATGAACTGAACATGTAATTCAAGTTAGTGTGAGGTGTGTAAGATGCATTATTGGTGACACGGAATCAGTAATGATCAAGGAATTAAGCTTACTGTTATTAGTAACTTTAGAACCACAAGTTCAATTAATACAGATGCCTAATTGTCAAACTAAACACTGTTCTTGTAGTCACCTGAGCAAGTAGTAGCAACAAAAGCGGATGCAGCCAGTGGGTTCATGTGTAGATTGATCAGTGTGCAGGATTTAAGATGTTTGCTGACTACCGGTTAGGAGAGCGATTTCTTACGGATAATAAAGAATTTTTGTCAATAAATAATCTGGTGGCATAAGGTTTTAAGACATTTAAGATGCGACTGTTGCAATGGTTTCAACGCACCTCTAGTTTCAGTAACAAATTATATATCTAATACTATTGAGAGGTAAAACAGTCCGTTATGGTTATTTTTTTTATTTCTGTTGTATTACTGCGAGTGCAACTTTACAGTAATAAACGTTTTGCTTCGAGTGACAGTGTCTAGCGCGGCAGTAACAATTCTCACCCACACCCCACCCCAGCTGATGTAAAACAAACCATACCACGGGCGGGATTGAACCCGCGGTCAGAGAGTCTCAAAACTCCAGACCGTCGCGTTAGCCACTGGACCAGCTAGCCACAATAAGATTCGTCCAACTAGGTATATTTCTACACCATAAGAAGGTTAGCATAGGCACCACTGTGACCACAAATGCAAGTTTTTACAGACGAATCTCTAGCTAGCGTGGCCGTGACGAACTCTAGCTCAAGTCCCCTCAATGCCGTCAACATGACTCACGAAATCGTAATGACACGATTGCAAACAAGCCATACCACGGGCGGGATTGAACCCGTGGTCAGAGAGTCTCAAAACTCCAGACCGTCGCGTTAGCCACTTGCATTTGTGGTCACAGTGGTGCCTATGCTAACCTTCCTAGGGTGTAGAAATATACCTAGTTGGACGAATCTTATTATGGCTAGCTGGTCCAGTGGCTAACGCGACGGTCTGGAGTTTTGAGACTCTGACCGCGGGTTCAATCCCGCCCGTGGTATGGTTTGTTTGCAATCGTGCCATTACGATTTCGTGAGTTATGTAGTCAGCTGCTGTAATTTAAAAGTCCATCCTCTGCTTGCCTGAAAGGTTTTACCAACAGCTTAATTTACTCGACTAAGAATAAGCTTACATCAAGTATAAATTATATATATCATGCACAATGCAAAACCATGTGAACAAATCTCGCAATTATGAACACAGCTTCAACTGTCAGCTAACACGCTAAACTGCAAGTGCTATTTCCTTCCAAGATTAATGTAGGCGCGCAAGCCGTCAAAATAACGAGAAAAAAACATGCTTAAAATTACATTATCTTACCTTGTTTGAGTAGAAGAGACGCAATAACGCTGTATCACACAACCACAATTTAAAAACCATCAAGATATTTGGTTCCTTTATTGCTCATATTAACATGCATAAAACGAAAAAGTAAAATATCGTCATGGCCATAAGCATTACGAGAACGATTAAAAAAATATAGAGTAATTTAAATATGAATATTTGTTTGATACACACCTACACCCACCCTCACACACCTACACCCACCCCCACACATAAACACGTAAATACAGAGGCAAACAACCAAAGTACGAAATACAAACGTGGCGATATAATAATAATATAGATCAGATCATGAAGCTTGAATGACGAAAACATAATTTAAGTTGCAAGGCTCATAACACTCATTACAAGTTTTTATAACAAATTTTATCATACAATACCCCATCACGTTTTCTGTACCACACCACATGTTTTACACGTCACGTTTTCTAATCTTTGAAATAGTAACAAATGTTCGAGTCTCACACAAGACCATCGCTGAAAAACCTTGACCTGCATTTGTTGATCCATCGCATGGCTTTACCACAAAAAAATAAATTTGAGCGTGCAAGGCTTGAGATTATCTCTCGTGTGTCTGGTCGTTGACCTCAAACAACAGAGGTCTCTGACAGATTAACTATCATGATTATTGACTCCCATGACTAATGCCAATCTATCGTGTGTATCAAAGAATATAGAATACAACTAATGTATCTCATTCATATATGCTATTTTTTGCTTTTACTCTGATAATTGTGTTCACTGCTCCGTATAAACTATACCTGACTCTTCACTGTTGTTCGATGCACGTGTTTTTGCACAGTGATAAAGAAATTGAGTAGAGGCGACAATCCTCCCAACGTTGACTCCCAACAAGGCACGTATCTTGCGAGTAATGTTTAACAACACTTCACTCAGTCACTACTAACAATTCCCGATGCTTCACTAAACAATAAGTTGCAGGAGCCGCCTACCGCTTGTCACCAAAGTTTAGGACTACTATATCTACTGTGTCAGCTTCTCATTAAGAAGTCATCCTGGCGCCGTGTCCATCACTCTCCAAAGCTCAAACAAAATTACCGTAATTTCGTTTCTCTTGTCATAATTTCGACCTGATTTATCGCTGCATTTTCTTTCTCATGATTTACAAACACGGATTTTTTCCCTTAATAAAAATGAAGGTAATAAGAGTGTGGTTGTAATGTCTTACTACACGCCCCAGTGGGTATCTTAAATAGCAAAACCCACGTTTATGGGGGCATGACGGACGCTGATTGGTCTTTGCCTGCCAAGACATACTTTGATTGGTCCTCATTATGTGAACTTGTCTGTCCCTACGCAAAATGACGCCCGCCGGTTAGTCTACCACAGATTGCTATAAATGGTCTGTCTACCACGAAATTACAAAATGTCATGATTGGTAGTAAAGTTACGTTAAGGTGAGCTGGGTAGGACGGTTTTAGTAGTGTACCACTGCAAAACTTAAGGCCAACTGAATTTAACAAAATTAAAAGGCAGAATATTGATAAATAATTTAACTTAAAAAAAAATCATCGCATAAGATATTCTCACGGATTATTTGACTTGGTGAGTGGGGGGAGAAATGAGCAGCAGCCTATTTATGTAGGCTGCCAAAAAACATCTCCCCGGGTGGCAAAAAATTATCACGATAAAAAACAAAAATAATTTTTACAAAATTAAAACAAAAAAGTTAATACAAAATAAAAATTCAAAAAAAAAAATTTACAACACACGTGGGGGATCACGCTTTGAGCTCGTTTTTTGGGGGTAATTTTACTGGCCGAAAAGGAATAGAGTGGGGAAAATATAGGTTGTCACGCATAAGAGTGCATAAATCACAAACCCCGAAAAAAGGAAATTAAGTGATCACAAAAAAGAAAACCGAAGAAATTAGGGGCTGAGTGTTATGGGGGCCTTTGGAAGGGTGAAGGGTTGTGTCAGGCCTAAATATGTTGCCATAAAACGCGGGGGGTATTTGAAGAAAAAGGCGATCAAACCGGGAGATAAAGATTGTATAAAGGTCAGTAAATCAGGGTGAGTGAAAAAATTAAAAAAGGTGAGACAATATCATACAGGAAGTTAGTAAAAAAAATTTAAACCGAGAAGCATCAAACTTCTTCAACTCGGGAGACAGGAAGCCCAGCAACGTTACTGCACTGCCAGCCCAAGTAATTTTCACCTTTTTTAAGTTCAGGGGGTCAATATACCTGCCCTTTAGCGGGAAATTTGGGGTCACTCCCCCCTCAGATTTATGGTATATAATAGAATTTAGGGGTAGCGGCATGTAGGGAAGCCTAGGTATTTTTTTTTTAAAAAATTTTAAACGCATAAGGTCAGGGGGGAACCAGAATTGGGTACATTACAATCTATGTAGTAAATACGTGGAAAAAAGGACTTT